CTTCATGTATGATACTGATTTTAAAATTACATATAAGTTCAATATATACATATATATAACTGTATATGTACTTATATATAATGAAACTTCTGAAAACTTTTTCCGTTAATTTTAATGGGCGGAGGTATAAATCATCTCAAATTATATAATTCTGTGGGTACTGCAGATCTGTTTGTTACCACATATAATTTTTAACTCAAAATTTTCTCCATGAAGGCAATTGCAAAATGAATCACTTAGAAGTCAGCACTTCCCAAAACAAGATTTTTAGATCTAGTTTTAGTAAGATTGTATAACCTTTTATTGGGTATGCTATAAAGTGTTACGTAATTTCATTGATACCACATTTTATTTTATACTCTGAAAATGATAATCTCCCAAATAAAAAACAGAATCTGAGCTGGGCGTGTTGGCGCACGCCTTTAATCCCAGCACTCGGGAGGCAGAGGCAGGTGGACCTTTGTGAGTTCAAGGCCAGCCTGGTCTACATAGTGAGTTCCAGGACAGCTGGGGCTACAGGGAGACCCTGTCTCAAAAAAGACCAAAAAAAAAAAAAGTCAGAATCTGCAAAGTCAGAATTAGAATTATTCTAGAACTACTGAATGTGCCATCTTATGCACATAAACTGAAGGACATTGTGGTAATTCTTTATTACCATCACTATTGTAGCACAAATATTTCTGGAAAGTTGATGAGAAAATAAGAGATAAATTTTGGCAGAGTTTAAGCATGAAAGATTTAAATATTTTTCTTGTTAATACATGATACTATGTCCTTTAACAGTAAGAATATTTGTGTGTCAAGCCAATGAGCTGTTTTCCAAGAAAGTTCTAATGTTAAACCAATTACGTTGTCAATCCATGTGTCTGAAATTTGGGTTCAGAAATTTTCTAAGTTGCCACAGATGTTCCCAGTCAAGATGAAACACTTTCAAATGAAAGTAGTTAGAACTTTACATAAAAAATGTGGTGCTTATTATTATTATTAATTATTATTATGTATTTCAGTGTTCATTATTAAAGCTACTGCAATACTGTATTGTAAAAGTGCAGGATGAATATTCCAGCTTTCATAAGTCCAAAAGAGAAAGTATTAATTTCCTGTTAGTGATATGTATTTCCTTTGTTCTTGTAGAAAAAAGGTGCCTAAAGGTAGTACACAGAGTAAATGTCCCATTAGCCTACTTCCTGCAGCTTCTAATTTATCTAAGGAAATGTCTATATCAATTTTTTTAAAAAGTCTTTGTCCTAGTCAATAACAGCAGAAGTCCACACTACTGGGCTGATTTTGCTTACATCAAAAAGAAAAATGTCATGTGATACTCAGGCCTCGCTTTCTCTTCCATCATACACCTTCAAGGAATGTCAATAAATTCACTTTGGTATGGCACCGTGTACGTTCCTTATTACAAAGAGAAGTCTATGGTAACAGAAATCTGCACCGTGCCTGTGCTCCTGCTGAATACGAACAATAAAACAACACAGGATGGCAGCTGCTGTGGTAAACAGTTCTCACAAGAAATCAGTACATCATACCCACCAGTTCATGAATAAAGAGGCTGTTTTGTAACAAATCATTTTTACATACCTATTAGAACTCTGCACAGACCACATGAGCTTCACCTTGTAACTATTCTTCATGTAGAACCTGGAAGACACTGGTTCATAAGAAATCCTACATGTTGAGGGACTGGAGAGATGGCTCAGTGATTAGGAGCAATGGCTGTTCTTGCAGAGGACCTGGATTCAAATTCCAGCACCCACATGGCAGCTAACAACCAACTCCAGTTCCAGGAGAGCCAACACACCCTTCTGATCTCCATAGGCACTGCATGACATGGATGCACTTATACACATGCAGACAATGCACTCATACACATAAAATAAAATTTAAAAAAAAAGAAATCCTACTTATTGAAATGCTTCTGTGAAAACTTCAAGCATAGTCCTGGGAGGTTTACCCCAGTGCACATGTCACAAATTACCAACACAAAAGTGACAACACATCTTTCCAAGCCTACAAAAGGCCAACAATGTGGCTTCCACTGCATGGCCAGATTTAATTTATTCTTTGAGAAAAAAATATTTTTATTTGAAAAAGTATGGGTAGTAATGAGAGAAGGTAGACCCTTGGACTAGCTGGAGTCAGTGAGATTATTTTTTAATATTTTATTTATTTTTATTTTACATGTATAAGTATATTCCTTGTATGTGTGTAAGTGCACCCCTCCTGTATCATGCAATGCCTGCAGGGATCAAAAGAGGGCATCAGATCCCCAGGAACTGGAGGAACGGATAGTTGTCAGCCACCATATGGGTGCTGAGAATTGAACCCAGTCCTCTGCAAGAGCAGCCAGTGCTCTTAACCACTGAGCCATCTTTCTAGCCCCAAGACATATGGATAATACATTTTCACACACATGCTGGACTTGCTTCAAATTTATCATAACTGAAACTAACTTTTCTCTTCAGGCACAAAAGTACTAGGCTAACCCATAATTTATGAAAAGTAGTAGGCTATGTTATTTTGTCTTAATCTGATCATTATTCTAAAATCAAGATATTCTAAAATCAAGATTTCCGTGGTCATATTTTTCCATGAAGCGTGTCACTTGCAAATTATATACTGTTAAAGAAAAAGTGACACGCTCAGTTTAATATTAAAAGTACAGTTTAAATATGTTTATATAGGACAGTTTTCTAGCAAGAAAAATGAACAGAATCTGGGCAAACCAAACCGATCTTTAACAATGCTCAGGAATCATCAGTTTTATGGTTGTAATTAGACCTCTTTTGTCTGTCTGGTTATCCTGGAGATGAGGAATCTGAGATGAGGAAAACTGACTTACTGAAAGCTACTAACCTTTGTCTTGAGGAATAATAGGATGCCCTGTCCCAAAATACCCCTGACGTCCTAGGCTTATGAAGTGATATCACCATTAGGCAGTTTTTCAGGAAGGTGATGTGCACAGAAGACATGGAAGATGAGAATGTGCCGTTGGAAAACCAGGAATGTACAATCAGTGCAATTTCACCAAAGACAGAAAAGCCTTCCTGTTCCCAAAGCTCCTATTCAGGAATTTGGTAGATAATGCAAAATAGGTGGTTTAAACAAAAGCAGCAATTTGAGATCAAGTTCATGAGAGAATACATTCTTTCTGACAGCTGTGAAAATTTGTTCCTCTTAGATCTGGTGATACCCTAGCAGGACTTGGTTTTTCTCTCTAGCTTCATTTTGTATGGGTCTAGGTCTGTGTGTGTGTGTGTGTGTGTGTGTGTGTGTGTGTGTGTGTGCAAATTTTCCTCTTTTATAGTAACACTAGTTTTAGATGATTAAGGTTCATTCTAATGACTTCATCTGAACTTAATTATTAATTTTAAATAAACTCACATCCTAAGAGATTATATCTTCTTTGGGGGACATATTTCAATCTGTAGCACCTTCTTCCTGGTGCCCTAAAAGCTTATAATAATAATAACAGTAATAATAAAAGATGCCATGTAACATATAAATATATATATGCATACATACATATTTATAACCAGACTAGGGTTCAAAATTCATCTTGCTGGAGACCCAGAGAACATACCTCTCATTTTCAAAATAGCAAGCACTAAAGACAGAAGGCAATACTGCCACAGTTCAATAGAACTTCACTTAGATGAAGGCTTGTCTGACTCTGCAAACTGGGCTGGGTCCACTGATCTGCTGTCTAGTATAGTCTAAGTTGGCACACTAATAGCCAGTGAGCAAGGCATGATGCCACTGAGAAGACATAGCTCTGTTGCTTAAGGAAAGCTGGACTTCATATACTCATTAAAGGACAAGAAATTCTAGAACCTATGAAAAATATCCCCAAACAAAGAAAATGATCATTATCCTGAAAATTCAAAGGCAAAGAAATAGATGGGATAAAAGCAGCAATTGAAATATTTTAAAAGTCCTAATTGCCACATTGAATAAGTATCAAGAAAAGGTGACCTTTAAGAAAGAGAAACTAAGAATGTAAAAAAGAAGGCTGAACTTACTAAATATAAGAAATGCTGATTAACAGGGAAGACCTGAGCTGACTGGAATGTCACCAACACCTTCATGATGCAAGTGTGCAGAGAGCATGAATAAAGTATTATTTTGACATAATACATACTGAAGCCAAAAAGATGGAAATAAAAAGGAGCTTTACCCTTGTGTTAGTCACTTTTCTGTTGCTGTGATAGAAACACTGACCCAAGCAATTTATAGAAGGAAGGGTTTACTTGAGCTTATGGTTCCAGGGGAATTACAGTCCGTCATGGCAGGGAGGGATGGTGGTTGGAACAGGAGCAGCAGAAGTGAAGCTCTCACATCATCACGCAGGCACAGGAAGCAAGAGAGCGACTGGCACTCTGGCAAGGCTTAAGAACTCTCTAAGCCCACCCCCAGTGACATGCTTCCTCCAGGATAGCCACACCTTCTAAAACCTCCCAAAACAGCGCCACCATCTGGGGACAGAATGTCCAAATACTTGGAGCCTATGGGGGACTATCATTCAAACCATCACAGCCCTCTTCTGACCTCCATGCATTGCACAACATGGGTGCACTCACATATATGCAGGCAAAACACTCATACACATAAAGTAAAAATAATAAAATATTTTTTAAAAGGAGTTTAGAAGAGCAGTGGGGAGGTGGAGTAGAAAATAAGGGACAAGG